AAAAATAATGAACACAAAACAACACCAACACTAACACCAAGATTTATACTGGTTCGGCAATGCCTACATCCAGTTTGGAGACGACGGAGTATTCCACTATAATCAATGAGAGAATACAATAGTGTTTAACACTCAGAAACCCAAGCCCCAAATATACCCAAGCTCACACACTCAAGAATATAAAGAGAATACAAATTGAGTACAATTTAGAGAAAGGGAAAAATAACCAACGACAGCAACAATTTGTTTTGCTGCCCAACTCTTATTTTTCCTCTCTCAATTTTCTCTCTGCAAACTTCTGTCTCTCATGCTCTGGGCTGCTGCTGCTTCTCCTTTTAAAGCCAAAGGAAGTGGCTTCTCAAAGAAGCCAACGGCCAAAGGCCTCCCATCAAGTCAAAAGTTAGCAATAAATGCTAGCCTTTTGTCTCCCACATGCAGCTTCCCATTCCACTTTGTCTGCCAATGTCAAATAATATATTCTACTTTTGGCCGAAAGCAACTTTGCTTTTGAGACAATAGTCAACAGGGAAGACCTGAACGTGGACTGTTTGGCAAATGTGTCTGGGAGAGTTGGTATGACGGCATTGCTGTTGAGTGTCCCTTTCGTGTGTAAGTCTTGGTACAGAGCAAGCCTCGACTCTGCATGTTGGAAACGCCTCATTTTCCCTGATGTCGAGACTAAGATTGACCTTGGAAATCAGGGATTTTGGAGTTCTGTTCTGACAATGAAATTGAATCTGTGGTTGTCAGAACAACTGAGCTTGTAACCTTGATGCACAGATTTGAACGTGAATATCAAATTGATCATAATTGCTTCTCTGAGACTCAATTTATAAAGTTTGTAGTCCACCGTAGCAGAGGACAGGCTACCTCCATTCTGTGGACCCTGTCACTCATTCCTGGAGGCTTGATATGCTGAGAGACTATTTAGATCGGGACACTATCAGATGCATACAATCTATTCCTGTTGGGGCCACCACTGAGTTGGACCGTTGGGTTTGGCCATGGAGTTCTGATGGAAACTATAGTGTGAAGTCTGGCTATCATGTAATTCTTTCTGCTAATAGAAGGGGGAACAATGTTTTGCCACAACCTTCTCATACCATCTCAAAGCAGATTTGGACAAGTATTTGGCAGTTCAAAACTCTCCCAGTAATATAATATTGCATTGCCTAGTCCATTGGAGTGAGCAATTTTTTCGCAAGGGGTAATTTAATAGGCAACATGCCACATCAGTCTAGTCTATATAGTACACTTTTGGGTCTAGCTCTCTCTCATTAAGAAAAAGTTCATATCACTCTGCATTTGAAAAAGTTATATAAAGAGGCGAGCATGGCTGTGCTTATTGCCTCTTATAATCTGGGAGTTCTATTTACACTCCATTTGCATTGCATGTATATATATATATATATCTCAACAGAAACTCTTTGATTTAAGGTCATTTTCTTTTCTCATTTTCTATTTAATTTTTTTTTTTTATTTAAAGCAGATTAGCAGTGGTTTGGTCTTTGCATCTATAGCTTTATTAAATTTTAATTTCATTTCTTTCAGATGGATGAAAGAAGATGGGAAGACTTAAACATAGACTGTATGGCGAATATTTTGGGAAGAGTTGGTATGGAGTCACTGCTTTTGGATGTGCCTTTCGTATGCAAGTCGTGGTACAGAGCAAGCCTCAATCCTTCATGCTGGGAACGTCTCTTGTTTCCAGACATTAAAACTAGCTATTTGTTATTGGACTATGATTTTAAAGCTGAAAATTGGGTTGATGACCCCTTGCTACAAAGATTTGTCCACCAATATCAAATTGATGAGAGTCATTTCTCGACCACTGCGTTTATTAAGTTCGTCATCAATCGTAGCAAAGGACATGCTACTGTTCTCAGGCTACCTCCATATGCTTCAAAAACAGACTTGAAATATGTTTCAGATGTGTAAGTTTCTCCTCCAGTATTTCAGCATTTATGTTAATTTTCTTTTTGAATGTTGTATTGGGTTCTAATTTGCTCCCCCCGCATATAATTGGGTCATCGTAAAATGTTTGTTTTTGCAGGTGTGGTGACCTCAAGGATGTTGAATTGCCTGGCGAATTAGTTGATGACGAATCAGGTGTAATAACAGAGCTGATTGGTAAGTGGAAACGTTTGGAGTGGTTGACGTTGGGAAGCAGCTATGATTTGGTAAAAATCCTCTCACAGATCAGCATTCACTGCAAAGACTTTTGGGGCTTACGTGTGTCTAATGCTGATATTGTTAATGATGAGGCTAATGCAATTGTCAACTTCCTGCCTAAGATTAAGCATTTGATCTTGAGGGATGCACATATTCATCGGGATGCTCTTATGAAGTTACTGCAAGGTTGCACGGAGCTTCAGGTTCTGGATGTCAGTGATTGTATTGGTTTTAGTGAGGATGATGGGGAAATTTTAAAGCTTGCTTCTCATATTACTAATTTCAGCTGCAAGGGCTCTAGCGAGTATGATGATGATTTCTATGAGGAAGGCCCGATTTCCGCACATGATTATGGATTTTATTCTTCTGATTAGGCGTTCCGGACTGAATTTTCTTTGGAGAGTTTACTGTTGTTTACCTTGCGTTAGCCATGAGGCACCCCAATAGGAATATGAAAGAAGCCCTATGTATTACTATGTATTACTAGTACGTACTATCTTCCTGTGAAGTATATGCTCCTGGATATAATAAGTCCCTTTGTCTGCAAGTCATGATTGAGTTTTTTTATACATAATTTTGTCTTTAATTTTGTCTTTATAGTACCTAGCAAAACAATCGCCGAGTTCTTCTGTTAAACCAAAGCATGTCCTGGCAGTGAGTTCCTATGTACAACGGCTCCTCCACAAAAGAGACTGGACTTAATTCCAACTCTTTTAAACCCATTCGTTCAACAGTCCATGGCTAACTCCCCCAATAACCCATCTTTCTTCATCCTCCTCTGTGACTCTGTCTACGTAGAAACAATCCAAGTCACATTTTTCACTTTAGCTCTTGTTAAGTCCGAAAGTCTAACATTGTTAAGAAAAATAAATTAAATATTCACGTTATTAATTGATTTGGCTACAAACATTTTAATTAGACACAATAAAAATCTCACACGTCATGATTTCATCTTGCCACGTTGGATTTTACTTCGATATTTTCGACCCAAAAATAAATAAATAAACCTCTACTTGGATTTCTTACCCTTTGGTCTTTTCTCCGCTGTTCGTTGCAGATCAAACTCAAGCACTCAATCAATAGGTTTGTTTACTCTTTCTTGGAAGGAATTTGCTTAATTGATGATTTGTTTCATGCGAGGGATTGCTCTGGTTTTGATGAGGGTGATGTTGTAATATTAAAGCTTGCTTCTCATATTGATAAGTTCAGCTGTGAGGGTTCTAGAAATGGTGATCCTCTTTCTTGGGTTGTCTAATAGGGTCCACACTTGACTTTTTGGTACGTCGTGTAATTTTCTTTTTAGATGGTAGTTAATGTTTGCTGATCTCTCATTCTTTTTAGTAATATGGATAATAAGATATATGTGAACATGAGCAGAAACAGTACAGCTATAGATATTTCCAGAGAACGAACCAAATGAATACATTAACCTATTTTTGGTCTGCATAACAATTCATCAATGTTAAAAATGGAAAGACATAAACAGATGAGAATAAATCATTTTCTATAATAGATATATCAGTGGGTTAAATAATTTTTTAATATATCATACATGCAATCCAATTGCTGAGATTAGAAGTCCTTGATCCTTGATGAAGCCAAATCTTTTGCGTTTTGTCATTTATATAGACATATTTTATTTCTTTCAGATGGATCAAGGAAGATGGGAAGACTTAAACATAGACTGTTTGGTGAATATTTTTGGAAGAGCTGGTATGGAGTCACTGCTTTTGGATGTGTCTTTTGTATGCAAGTTGTGGTACAGAGCAAGCCTCGATCCTTCATGCTGGCAATGTCTCATTTTTCCAAACATTACAACCAGCTATTTTGGTTATACCTTGGACACTGAATATTGGTGTTATGATCCCTTTTTGCAAAGATTTGTGCATGAATATCAAATTGACGCGAGTCATTTCTCGATCACTGCCTTTATAATACAATAATATATTAATATTGTAGATAACGTATATATAATCAAGCGTGCAGCACAGGAACAAAAGCCTGTGTCCTGTTGAGCTGGTATCTAGTTCCTTTGGTATCTCAGAGTGGCTTGGGTTCGAGTCACGACCTTCGCATTCAATTGTTCTGTTCTTTCATTTTTACCTTTATTTTTACTGCAGCTAAAAAATTATATATATATATATATATATATATATATATAACAGACTAAATTGTTACATTTTGTTACATTTTGGTTTTTGGCCTTTTGCTAATTAGACTAAATTGTATTTCTTTCTACTAAATTAGTAAACTATATTATGGTTTAAAACTAAAGCTCCCATATATATATAACAGAAACACGTCAGAAAAATATAGAGAGAGATGAGCAATGACCGGCAACATCAATATTGTTCCAGAAATCAAGCATAATAATGGAGCGGACTGAAAAGTTGAAACATTTGGAGTCACTGTCTTTGGGAAATAACAGAAATATTGCTGAAATCCTTTCACAGATCAGCCTTCACTGCAAGAACTTTCGTGGTTTGGAATTGCGTGATTGTTTAATAGGTGAAGATGAGGCATCTTCAATCATCAAATTGGTGCCCCATATTCGGTATTTAATCTTGAGCTGTTCAAGAATTCGTCGTATAAATTTTATCACATTACTTCAAGGCTGTAAGGAGCTTGTGTATTTGGATGCCAGTGATTGTCTAGGTTTTGAAGAGGATGATGATGAAATATTAAAGCTTGCTTCTCATATTGCTTATTTCAGCTGTGAGGGTTCCGAACTCTATGATTCTGAAGATAACCATGACAGATTGATCTCTGATATATGGAGAGAGTTCTGATGATGATTAGAGGTTGTTTTCTGGTATACACCTTGACCTTGGATCAGTGTAACAGAGTTCTTTGTATTAAAAGTTCCATTCCAACATGAATATGTAGTAGTATAAATTGAATGTAGTTCGAATTTGGATCCCAAAAACAAAACTAAATAACTAAATAGACTCCTAAATAGCAGTGCATACAAGAGAAAAAAACCCACAAAAGAACTTGCACCCACTTCTTTCCCTCCTTCTTCTGTTGTTGTTTTGATACGATTCTTCTTCTCCTTCGATCCAACAACAACCTTGGAGACTGCCATGAATAAAATAAACATTAAAAAGCTTGCCTTTTTTTCTTTTTAAATTCAAGAAAGAAACAAGAAAAAAGAAAGGGAAGAAAATATATATACCTAGTTTCCTCTCATGAGTTTGGCCCACATAGCGTTGGATACGCGTATGAACCATAGCCTAGCAGCCACTAGCATGATGAAACTGGGAATATTACAGATTAGGCACATCGGAAGCCAAATGGAATATGGAAGTATGGCAAGCAATCTGACCCAATAAAATGTCCACAGGCAGAATAGAACTACCCAAGTGGTGGAAACGTATGGAAGATGATATGAAATAAGTAGAAGCCACCACCATGCAACCCACAGCCAAAAAGTTGCAACGCACTGCCATAAAGTAACACCCACCATTAATGCACGCCCGACATAAACATCACCAGGACTCTCTGCAATACTATCGGAAAGAATGAAATGTGCCAAAAACAGGCCTAGCATGATGATGACTAAGTGTTTAGCCTTGTCGTTCACGGTGAGGATGGAGTGGAAGTAGACTAGGAAGAGGAGGGAAACTAATATAAGCAAAAAAGAAAGAGGAAGACAGTAGGTAGCTAGCTAGGAAAAACCTAGAGAAAGGAAGAGTAAACAAAATATGAGAAATCATGAACAGGAGGGCTTACTTTTATATAGGGTAAAGAGTTTTACCTAGCTGAGAGCTGAGGGTAAATAATGCATGCTCGAATTCGAATATCTGAGGATAAGAATGAGAAAAGTTACCGTTGCTTTTGGAATATAATAGGAATCATGGTGAGACAGCAGCTTTGTTTTTATCTAGTGCTGCAGCAAAGATCTCATCCTCTGCATTAAAATCAAGCAAGGGGTAGGCATGCGTTTTTGCGTGGGGAGAAAAGCGGTCAATACCATATAAGGTAACATTCAGTCTGCAGTGCTGCAGGCTAATGGCAGACTGTGCCGCGTAGGTTTTGTCATGGTCTCTCAAATACCAGAAACAACAAATATCAAACTTTTGTGTTTTTTTTTTGTCGAAATATCAAACATATATGAATACCGTTTTTGTTTTTGTTTTTGTTTTGAGGAGATTTATATGAATACGTTTTTGTATAAAAAATTATCTTGAGGTACTCTGGAGGAGTGATGTTAAGGTGCATGAGTGTCTTGAGAGGTTTGAGAAACCACAATGTGGGTGTGCTGTATCAAATTAGGGAGAAGTGTGTTTGAGGAGGTATATGCCATCGATGGCAACGAAATCAAGAAAAAGGATTGAGATCAACCAAAGGAGAGGATAACAAAAATAAAAACTTGAAACAAGTAATAAAGATACATGGGTGGGTGAAAAATTGAATTACCAAAAGTGAGTGACGGTAAACTATTTATTTATAGGTCTCATGGTACCAAAGTTATGTGTATACCACTTTCTGATACACTTAAATAAGCTCTCCTTAGTTATGTTAAGAGCATCTGCAATGGTTAGCATCAATGCAACTTTTTAAATATTATATATGAATATGAAAGAAGTCTGATGTATTAGTGCATGTGCTTGTAATACCATCTTCCTGCATTTTGATGTTTTGGAATTGTCTTCTCTTTGTTTTTTTCCCATCTCATTTCTATTTCATATTTCAATTCTTAGAATATCTCCGATCAAATATCAAACATTAAATTTGAATTTGATTATGTGGAAATTTGACCTATAATAGAGTTTTACATTACACCCTATATGTCAAATTAAAATACAATAAGGAAGTTTTTTATTTTTATTTTTTTGGTAGAATGAGAATTGAGCACTTGCATTGAGGGATCCCTTAAATAATTTTATTTGAGGGACACCATTTAGGGTACCGTACGATTTTTTTTCTTTCTTCAACAATCCAAACCGTATATTTTTCAAGTTTTCATTCATAGTCCTTTGAAAAAAAACAGAAAAATTGAAAATCATTAAGGCATCTAATTGTTAGCAACAAAATAGATGAACACGATGCTTCAAGAAAAAACTAAAATAACAATAATCTAATTAAGTGGTCAAATGATTTCGGATTCAAGTGATTTTTTGCAGATATGATCTTTGAGGAAATATCTAAAAATTAGACAGTTCGGATCATTGAAATATAATGTGTGATGGGCCCTACAATAGTGTCCCTCAAATATCCCCTAGAATGTACACAAAGTAAGCTCAATAAGATCAAATTGGAGAAATCTAGGCCCGTTCCGTTTTCAGTCGAGTTCCTTCATTCACAATTCAAATTGGAGAAATCTAGGCCCGTTCCGTTTTCAGTCGAGTTCCTTCATTCACAATATTGGTGAGCCCTACAAAAGCAACAAAAAAAACCAACGGCCCAACAACAACCAACCGAAGTCCAAACTATACATAAACCCTAGCTACCCCGGATTTCTGGAGTCTCAATCTAGGGTTTTAAAATGTATGAAATTGGAGTGTTTGGGGGAAAAGAGAATCGGGGAGAGAGTCGTGAGCCGAAGAGGAAAAGAATTGCTGAGGTAATTTCGGCTCGGTTTCTTTGGAATAATTAGTTTTCTTTCTGATTTTCCTTTGAAATCCCTACATATTTGAATCTTTTTTATAATTTAATTTAATTTGTTTCAGAGAAGATGAGAAGAGTTCAACACTGACTGTTTGACGAATATTTTTGGAAGAGTTGGTATGGAGTCACTGCTTTTGGATGTGCCTTTTGTATGCAAGTCGTGGTACAAAGCAAGCCTCGATCCTTGTTGCTGGCAACGTCTCATTTTTCCCAACGTCTCCTTTTTTGGAAGATTTGTCAATGAATATAGAATTGATGACTGGAAGTTTTCGACTAGTGCTTTTATTAAGTTTGTCGTCAGTCGTAGCAAGGGACATGCTACTGTTATCAGCCTACCTCCATTTGCTTCAGAAGCAGACTTGAAATATGTTTCGGATGTGTAAGTTTCTGCTTGAGCATTTTGTTAATTTTCCTTTTCAAATGTATCCACCATATAACTGAGTCATTGTAAAATTTTGTTTGCAGGTGTGGTGATCTCAAGGTTCTGGCATTTCATGGGGACGAACCACATGTAATCCCAAAGCTGATTGGTAAGTGGAAACATTTGGAGTGGTTAATGTTGGAAAGCGGCGATGATTTCGAAGAAATCCTCTCACAGATCAGCATTCACTGCAAGGATTTTTGTGGCTTATGTGTGTCTAATGATGTTTTTTGTACTGGAGAGGCAATGGCAATCGTTAACTTCCTGCCTAAGATTAAACAGTTGATCTTTAGGAGGGTAGAAATTGGTCGGGATGATCTTATGGCGTTACTGCTGCGCTGCAAAAAGCTTCTGCTGCTGGAAGGCAGTGATTGTATAGGTTTTAGTCCGGATTGATGAGGAGATTTCGCATTGGTAATTTCTGCTTTAAGGGCTCTTGTGATTATGCTTTTGAGGATGACTCGGGAAACAGTTGTGACGAAATGGTAAACGATGGATATAATTCTAATTAACTGAATTTTAATTAGTGAGTGTGCTTGTAATATTATCTTCCTGCATTTTGATTTTTGAAAAATAAATGGTTACCGCTATATATACTTTAATTTTATATTTCTTAATATAAAGGCTTTTTATCACAAATGGTCCTTGACGTTTACAAAATTATCACGAATGGTCCTTGAGGTTTTTTTGTGACACTAATAGTCCTTAACGTTTGGACTTTTTATCACAAATGGTCCT